GGCTAACTTTCACTATGGGAAGATTAAGATGGATTAATGGTAGAAATGTGTGTCTGTTGAGGGGAGGGGGGGAGTCATTGTTAAAGATAATATTTTTCTAGAAAAGCAAAAGCCTTGCATTTTGATGCTTTGGTAGAAAGAAGAGTTTGTACAAGCACTAAGAACAGCAACATCCGGTGATTACTACATGAAACCCCTAGTCGGTAGACACTGGCAATCTGGCATAACCAGAAGTAGAGCGCCCATACCTCTCGCACCCGCCATCGCCCATTGCCTGGCTTCCGTCTCGATCGTGTCAAGTAGGCGAGCTAAGTTGAGCTGGGAGTTGTCAAAGATGATCGAGTTATGCTTTATTGAAGAAGCTGCCTTCTAATAGATTAAAGGATGAATCAAGAAAGCAGCGATCTGACAGTTATCAAAGCAAAAATTAAATTCCCCTTCCGGCCTTCCTAGTCCACATGACAAATCGTCTATGTATACTTGGATAGTTGGACTTGAATTTTGAAAATAGTCTCAGCACAAATTTCTTAAGAAGAGGAGCTGATTATTTCTAACAAGCAGGCTGGATATGTAGTAATTGTACAAGCAAGAAATATCCAAACTTAATTCTTTGAAGGTAGGAGAGCAGATTCGATTAGCATGGTATAGATGCACAGTTCAATAGCTTAGATGCACAGCTCAATAGCTTACTATAGGACTGCTATACAAGTAACAAAATCTCCTCATGAGTTGTGACTCCTATTCTTTGTAGGTAGAGAGCATAGCACAGCAGTATAACCTTAAGTTCAAACACTACATAATGTAACTAGTATTACCTTCCAAATACCGTATGATCAATTAACCACAAGCGGCATAACCTGATCATCTTCCAAAACACAACACAATCATTCTATTAGTAATTCACTTCTCTCTTGAAAAAAATCAGAAATCTTTATCTCATATTATGCTGCAATAACATATATAGCCAAAATAGAAAATACTGGATATGTATTTCTTCGTATATCAAAGTGGAGTAGGTTGAAGTTGTTTCCCAACACAGATGTACGAATCAGGAAAACCAGATCGAGCTGTACGTGCAATTCGGAGTATCTTTCTTAAAAAAAATCATACATCACGCGTTCTTGTTTACATTATCAAACTTAGTTATATGATTGGTATCATTGTATCAGAGATGTAATACAGATAACACATTATCAAACTTAGCTTGCTGTACATTTGTGTGGGCAAACAAGCAAGCTAGTTATCATGGAACTTTCTGCTAACTTCCGATTTCCTTATATTTAGGATTACGTTTGTTTACTGAGGCAAAGGATGGTGGCTCACGTGGGAAGGTAATTCTCGTTGTCAACAATATATTTTGTGGACGGGCTGTTAAATTCACTGTGATTTTGCCTGTTTACCCAGTATTGGGATGATCATCCAGCTATAATGGCAGTTGGTGTCGTTGATGCAAATTCTGAGGATATCTTCCAGACTTTAATGTCTCTTGGTCAATCAAGATCCGAGTAAGATATATGTTTCCTGTTTAACAAAACCAGCATATGATACTGCCTTGAAAACCAGCAATATATTGCACTTGATTTTTCTGTTTTGCTATCTTCCTTACCAAAATTTAGACTCTGCACGGCATGTCACTAAATGCATAGCATTATTTACATGAACATCTATGTGAATGCATTTCGTTTTGCACCAATCAACCAGTGAGAGTTCTTGTAGGTGGGACTTCTGTCTGCGGGAAGGAAGGGTGGTTGAGCATCTAGATGGACATTCAGACATAATCCACAAGAAATTAAGAGGGGACTGGCTACCATGGTCTGATGCTGGATCCATCCTGCTTTCTGTATGCACACTTTATCGTTAAGTTATAATAGTATATATGATATTTAGTTTTCAGGGGAATGAGAAAGAGAGATCTATTACTTAGACGATATTGGAGGAGAGAAGAAGATGGCACTTATGGTACAATTTTTTTTTTTTTAAAATGATAAATAATCAGCTTGCCATGATCTAGACCTGACACTTCTCTTGATTTTTCAGTTATCCTGTACCACTCTGTTTTCCACAACAGATGCAGTCCTGAGAAAGGCTACATCCGTGCATGTCTTAAAAGTAATGTATGCTTTATTTTCAGCATAAAAACTGATTGTTATCGTTTGTTTATCATGGACTAAGATATGATTTTATGAATAATAGGTGGAGGATATGTAATATCACCAGTTAGCCAAGGAAGACAATCAGTTGTGAAGCATATGCTTGCTATAGACTGGAAATTCTGGAAGTCATATCTCCTTACCTCATCCGCAAAATACATCACCATACGTATGCTAGGAAGAGTAGCAGGCATGTCTCGTGAAAGATTAATTATTCATTGCTTGTTGTGGTTATCAGCGTTGTCCCAGTGTTCAGTAAGCTAAACATTTGTTTGCAGCCCTACGGGAATTATTCCGAGCAAAAAATGGAAACTGCGCTTGTATGGAATTCTCATCGGGTGAGCTGATGAGGGATATGGGACTGCCGCAGGGTGGAAACGAGCCAACAAAAATAGAAACGCAGTCAGCAAATGAGTGTGAGAGACTTGAGGGTCCTGTAGAAGGACCACAGGGTGGTTCTAAGCGGCACTTAAGCAGTACTGGTTCCCTTGTTCAACTTAATGATGCAACGGATGAGTTCTTTGATGTCCCAGATGAATCAGAATATGATCAGAGAGAAGCCATGTGGTCTTCTGATGAGAGCACACATGCTGCGGTGAGTTCTTTACATAGAACCTTTTTTTTCTTGAAAACGCACCTAAATGTGTCATTTTGCATTAGAGGAGACGTCAAGATGACACAAAGCTTACAAGCGGCAACACAAACCAAAAGTACCCAGGCTAACAAAAGAAAAAAGAAATTAGAAATAAAAGATGGCAGCAAAAGGAGCAAATAAATAAATAAATACTGTTCTTATTGATTAAGATGGTAGTTCATTTCCATCTCTCTAGAATTGCTGTTTGTAGATTGTTGTGTGGCTGACCATATTAAATATGCGTTACCCCTGTGGCGTTCATATGTGAAGGTTAACAACATTGCAATATGCAGAAAATTGTCCATACTTTTCAATTATTCGGCTGTTGCATTATCACAATGAGTGTAACGTGTGTACCTTAGCCCATAATGTGATTTCTCCCTTCCCCTTTAGCAATAAAAAGAAGCAGGAAGGTTTCTCTCAGATATGTTGCAAAACCCTGGTCAGCCAGTAACTAACGTACGGTTTCCTTGATTGTATGAACCTATTATTCTTTCCTATGCCATAGTGGTAGCATGACACAATTTGATCATAGTTGGAAAGGTGAAACAACTTATAGTCGGCTTATAAAAATTAGAACAACTTAGTCATAGGCAAGGACCACAATTTAATTACAAGAAATGACGATGACAATGGTCTTGGCATAATTCAGAGAACCAGGGCAGAACTCCAAGATTGTTTTTTTACATTCCATGTGTCTAATATTTGGCAGGACCAACGACATGCTAAATTATCCAGTGCTGCTGTCTTTGTACGGAAGTTGCATGATCTTGCAGGTGTGTTACGGCTGATGTACATTTTTCAGTATTTTCATTTATTTTTGTTTCTAACTACTTGTTTCTCATTTCCTATATTCTAGTTCAAAAGAGAGGGTACATTGATTTACAGGGAGCTGCAGATGCTGATAATGGACCATGTTACTATGGACATACTCTCCCAAAAGATTCTAGCTGTACAATGCCTTCTAGTTGGTCAATGACAGACCCGACAACATTTTTAATACGGGGAGAATCCTATTTGCTTGATCGTCAAAAGGTGGGTTAGTACTGTGATATTATTCTAATTCAGTAGGCTAGGATACATGTCTTTGTTCTGCAGGAAATAAGGGATCCTGTATGTTACAATAATAGCCATGTTTAGTTAATCTAGTCAGCATATTGATAGTCAGGGTTCGTGTGCTTCACCATCCATAATGATGAAATTATCTGTAACTTTGACAGATCAAAGCAGAGAATACACTGATGCAAATGGTTGGTGCTGACTGGATAAAATCTGATAAGCGTGAGGATGATCTTGCTGGTCGTCCTGGCGGACTAGTCCAGGTATCTTCTGCTGAAGTCAGTAATTTTGCCTTCAAATGGGAAGGAACAAAAATTAAAGTTCGCAATGAATTTTATTGCAGAAATATGCAGCACAAGGAGGCAGCAAATTTTTCTTCATTGTAAATATACAGGTGAGATTTCTTCGGCTTTATGAATGTATTGAGGCTTCATAAGTGTGCACCTAGACCTTGCCTTTTTACTTATAACCCTGGTCGGTATACAGGTTCCTGGTTCTACCACGTACAGCTTAGCTTTGTATTATATGATGGATACCCCATTGGAAAAGGTTCCTCTACTTGAAAGATTTGTAAATGGAGATGATACATTCAGAAACTCAAGGTTCAAACTCATCCCTTATATCTCAAAGGTACCTTTCTCCTACAAGTCTTGATTGGTGTTAATCAGAAAGCTGCGATGGTTTACGATTGGAAATTCGGAATGTGTCAATTCAGGGATCTTGGATTGTGAAGCAGAGTGTGGGCAAGAAAGCTTGTTTGGTTGGTCAAGCACTAGAAATCAATTATTTCCGTGGAAGCAACTATTTGGAGGTAACATCTGTGCATGCCATTATCGAGAGATCAGCATAGCTGGCATATTTTTTGCATACTTATGTATTCAGGAAACAGTCTATCAGCTATGTTTTCTTTGAACGGGTGCAGTCACGTACTTCCTCCGTTCCTAAATATAAGTCTTTATAGAGATTTCATTATGGATCACATACGGATGTATATAGATGCATTTTAGAGTGTAGATTCACTCATTTTGCTCCGTATGTAGTTCATAGTGAAATCTCTACAAAGACTTGTATTTAGGAACGGAGGGAGTAGTAAGGATTGCTTTACTTTGTCAATATTATTTATCGTTTACCTTTTTTAGTTCATGTTCTCCATGGACCAAAATCTGACTGGACCATTATGGCTTCCGCTAACTGTTAATTTGGTTTATGAGTCTTCATTAACCATAAGATAGGTCGAACGGTCCATTGCAGTCACCAAACACTAATTGGCTTAGGTTTATCTCCTAACATTATAGCTTATTATGATCTAATGGGAGTATGTTTAGTGCCAGTACGTACAATTGCGATATTCAGGTTCTCAACATTTTGAAATGCAACCTTTTCAGCTTGGAGTTGATATAGGCTCGTCAACAGTGGCACGAGGTGTGGTGAGCCTTGTGCTCGGGTACTTGAACAACCTGGTGATTGAGATGGCCTTCTTGGTACAGGTAATCGCCGTCGGATAACTTTACCAAATTGTTACATATGCTCTTGTTCTACTCAAGATCGAGAACAGATGTGATGAGCAAGCATGGTTTTTTCCTTGCCTCATGCAGGGCAACACGCAGGAAGAGCTCCCGGAGTTCCTCCTAGGCACCTGCCGACTGAATTATCTGGACGCCTCCAAAGCTGTATCGCTAGACGAATGCTGACCTGACCTCTCAAGGTCAAGGAGGCGTCAGGTTGATCCCAATTCTCTTTCGAAGCCTGAGTACAGCACATCAAAGCCGAAAAGGCTCAAGCTACTCCCCGTGTCCACCCGCCATACACTCATTTGTCTGCCTTGCCGCCCACAAAAGTGTGGGGTATTTGCCGCAGCAGTGTACATTCATTTCTCCTCCTGCAAATAGGAGGTGTTGCGGTGTATTGATTGATTGATGATGGCAGTCTACTACTCGTGTGATGCAAAGCCTTGCTCCCATTCTTTGGCCGACAACTCGTCATTTCATTCATCATGTAAAAATTGAGACAAAAGGAAAGTGTATTCTAACCCTGACCTCGTGTCGTTCATTTGGAATCTAATCTGGGATCGGATCAGAGATCGTCAGATGTTCAGATCCAACACCACCAAAGCAACCCATTAACTGGACGTTGACCCTTCACCTGAGAGTGATTACACTGCCATGATTCATTCTATCCGAGGACTGTCCCTCCAGACAGACACTCGTACCGAATCGAAAGGGACTCGACCCAAGCCCAACACCAACGAGGCAGTGATAATCATCGGGAATTCCCGTATCATGGTACAGTTGGTCACTCACTCGAGGTCGAGGACCACACGCTTCGCTTTTCTGTTATCATCACTTGAGCCGGAAGGAACGAGCAGGTGTAGGTAGTGGAGCTGGCATCTCTTGCGTACTGACCAGAGATTGAGAAAGGACAGGACAGCAGTGGGGTGTGAAAATGATGGGTGTCATCGTAGCAACCAGTTCGCAGGAGCAGCAGCTACATCGTGATCAGGAATCAGGGGTCACTGTGCGGCGCCAGCTAGCTCAGCTTTTCTTGTTTTCCTAACCGTGCAGGCCAAACGCTGCATCGCTGACGCTGCGGCTGTAGCAGCAGTGGACGTGACAGGTGAACGTCCTCTTCCTTCGCCCGCCTCGAGCCTGCGCTTTCCGAGCAGAGGATGGCGCGTCGCTTGCTTGCTTGCTACTTCTGTGTCGCGCAAGAGAGAGAGAGAGAGAGAGAGAGAGATTAAAGTAGACGCGTGGACGCAACGCAAGTGCACCGTGCACGTACGTAAGCGTGGTGGAGCGTGGACAGGGTTGTTCTTTTCTCTTTGAGATCCTGGACAGGATTGTTAATGCCATTGACCTGTGCTGATCCCTATGGCGCATGGCGCGTCGCCGGCGGCGGCGGCGATCGGGTCGGGTCGGTCGCGCCAGGCACGGCTCCGTGCTGGGGGTCAGCTGGTCACGTGGACGCGGGGCGAGAGACGCGAGGCTGAACTGAATTCGACGCCTCTGGATCTGCTCGCCGTTGCACCGCCGCATTTCTTGTCGCCGGGCATGTGGTCACAGTTTGCACGACACGCACTCTGTCGTATATAAAGAAAACAAACTTTTTTTGACGTCTAATAAAGAGAAAAAAATGAATATATATATCCCTTGTTGTTAAAAACACATGCATATCTCTTTATGTTAATTTATCATATGGTAAGCTCCACTTGAAGATCTGTGGCGAACCCTGAAATTGAGATGCCAATTTCGAGAGCGATCTTCCCTAGGTTTTGTTCAGAATTACACTAACCGATGAACTGCGTGACATCACTGTTACTTGAACTCATCCATTACTTGAACTCATCCATATTGCACGATACAGGGGAGTTTTGCGCACATCGATGTCATTGCTCAGGATTAATTGGCCCGTTGAACAACACCAAGCTGTTCGGTCAAGATTACAAATCCCAACGCTCGTAGAAACTGTGTCAGAGTACTGACTACAGTAAAGAAGATGATGATCCCAAGGAACCATCAATTCCGCAGGAAGATCTGCGCGAAGAACAGAGAAAATGGTACTGCTGTAATGAGGCTGGTCATAGTGGGGAGTAACTTAGACTAGTGCCATATGCATGACACTAGTCTAAGTTACTATCTCTATAGTGCAAAGTAACATATTACTAGTGTCATATATGACTTTATTTATTAGCTTGTAGACTCATCATTTCTCGGAAAACGCTATGTTACAGTAACATATTATGTTATTCTAAACATCTCTTTCCTCATTAACTACATGTCTCATAAGCAAAAAAAATTTAAAGTGCGCTATGTTACTACCTAAGTTACTCCCACTATGACTAGTCTGATAACATAATCCCTCCATGGATAGAAATTGACAAACAACACACTGCACTCTCTCCGGCCATCAAAAGGTGCTGTTGTAGATATTGATGCGGTCTCCTAAATGTAAATTTGACTAGTGTTACTTTTTTTCTACAATATAAATAAAACTTACAAAAATTGTTGTATTATGACACATTATATAAAAAAAATCTGTACATATGATTTCATATATCAAATCATTTTTTTATAAATACATATGTGTTCAAGCTATTAAATGTTTGACCGAAACTACATCTAGAGTGTAATTCTTTTACTAGGACGAATTACCATGAGTATGTCCATTTCGATTCACTGTTTTATGAAAATGCCTCCTTAGCCCTTAAATCACAGTTCATGAGACTTAACGCAATAAAAACTACTACCCACGTCCTGGTTTATTGGCCCCTTTAGTAATTTGTACCAAATTTTGATCATGGATTTAATTAGCAAAATGTCAATGCATGTCACAAAAAATAGTATCATTCGAAACTATGTTCAAATACAAATCCAATGATACAACTTCTTATGACATGCATCAACATTTTGTCACTTAAATCTATGATTAAATTTTGACACAAAATACGAAGAAGACCAATAAACCAAGATAGAGGTAGTACAAAACCAAGGACCGCCTCGTTGCCCAAACGGGCTGCCTCGTCATCAATAAAAGTGTAGGATTCCCCTACCACCTGTCGGCGTCGCCGACGGTCCGCCTCGTCTTCGGTGACCTTAGGGTCATGGAGGCGCAGTGGATCTCGACCCTTGCCGGCGGGAGGGCTTTGCTTTCAGTTGTTTCTTTACGTTTTGTTAGGGTTTGTGTCTTGCTCAGGAAGACGAGACGGCGGCGGCTCCCTGAAGATGGAATAAGGTTCTCCCTGACTAGCCCCCGTCCCGATGGTGTGTCTAGCATCATCAGTGGGCGTGTGGAGATGTGTCTCGGGCGGATCTATCCTTGATGGATTTGCTCGGATATGATCGTAGTTCGTCTACGTTCATGTGTAATCAGGCTGGATCTTTCCGATCTACGCTACTCTTCATCACCGGCGGTTGTTGTTCTGCCACACTGGTCCTATGCGGCCTTAGCACGATGATTTCCCGACTATCTACTACAACAAGTTTTGCCCGGCTCCGGCGAGGGAGGAGCAATGACGGCGGTGCGCCTTCGGCTCGCTTCAGTGCTTGTAGTCGTTGCTAGATGGTCTACAGATCTAGACGTAATTTTTATTATTTTTTTAGTGTTTGTTATACTGCCATGATTGAAGATAAATAGATTGAAAGTTTTCTCGCAAAAAAACTACAAAACCATATGCATGGGGAGACAAATTATAATGATTAGAGAAACGAGGAAGTCAAGCGGGGAGGGTGGCTAGCTATGTGGGTGTGGGTGAATTTAAGTGCTTTGGAATTTTTTTTCTAACCAAAAGGCCGAAGGCCATATATTAAATATAACCGACTCTTATTGAAACTTTCTTATACATGAATAAGAAATTACAGGCAAGTTCATGAAGAAATTAGCATCATCTTCCTTCTATATCCATCGACGACACGACGCAAGCAAAGCACATTGCCGCCTTTGGTCATCCATCTTATCTGAGTAATCTTGTTTAAATTCAGGAGCTTGTAGAAATAGAGGACGAGAAGTCATTGTTGTAGATCAGAAGTCACCAACAACCGAGAGTTGCATGGATCGTCGTCCTAGAGAAGCCGACATAAAGGAGGGCAGGAATATAATCCCAACTCTGGCTAGACAAAGGAGAGAGACACAAGCCATACCAAGCTGTCCGGTCAAGATTACAAATCCCAACACTCGCAGAAACTGTGTCATGACTACAGCAAAGAAGATGATGATCCCAAGGAACCATCAGTTCCGCAGGAAGATCTGCGCGAAGAACAGAGAAGATGGTACTGTAATGATAACATAATCCCTTCACGAACAGAAATTGACAAACAACACACTGCAGTCTCTTCAGCCATCAAAAGGTGGTGTTATAGATATTGATGCGGTCTCCTAAATGTAAATTTGACTAGTATTACTTTTTTTTCTACAATATTATATAAAGACAAATCTGTGCATATGATTTTTTCATATATGAAATCGAATTTTTAAAATACATCTGTGTTCAAGCTACTATTAAATGTTTGACCAAAACTACATCTAGAGTGTAATGTTTTTTTACTAGAAGGACTAATTACCATGAGTATGTCCATTTAGATTTCACAGTTTTATGAGAATGCCTCTTTAGCCCTTAAATCACAATCCATTAAATCCGCGTGTATATCGAGAAACCTACTCTAGTCACATGTCTATTCGCAAGCCATCCGTCATTAAACACAACGCCTGTTGGCTCCGGGCACCGCTATTTAAACAATGCCAGACGCCGGGCAAAAATTGTACCACACCTCCGCTCCCATATTCTTCTTGCACCATTTTCTTCACAATCTCCATGACATCCGCCGAGCAGGAGAGGAGTTCTCTGGCATAAAAGCCGGCTGGGTGGCCCATTGAGCTCGCCGGATACGAGCCAGACAACTCTCTGCCCCACCTCCCTCGATGCTCCAGGCGGTTGTAGGCCAGCTCGTAGAGGTGGAAGCTCCAAGCCGACACGTGGTTCAACAACTCGTCGCTCCAAGCTAGCTCGTCGTGGAGTGGCGAGTTACTCTAGGCCGACACGAGAGGGAGCACAGCAGCACACGCATCGTGGCTGCAGTGGACGACATTGTGTCGTATCGCTCCTCCCATGCCTGTGACCGCACCACTTGCCGTCAACGTTCTAGGAACCTTTCCCTGACGGCAGAGAAAGAAGCCGATTTCACGAAGATCGATGAGGTGG